ATGAAGGGCATCCTCACTGATGCATGGTATTTGAAATTGGCTGCTCTAAAAGAAATCGTAGAAAAGTGATCCCACTAACAAACTATAGAACTGATTTATTGTTAAGTGATGGGAAAGAAGCGACAATCCAGCAACCAAGACATTTGAGGGTCCCTAATAATGTTCATATTGAAATGAAACAGGCAGCGATGTGAAACCCACTTTGAGCTTCAGTGAATTCATTGTTTTAAGTGACCACAACTTCTTCATGTCCAAACAACAAACAAACAAACTATAGAACTGATTTATTGTTAAGTGGTGGATAGAAGCGACAATCCAGCCACCAAGACATTTGAGGGGCCAGTAATAATGTTCATAATGAAATGAAACAGACAGTGATGTGAAACCCACTTTAAGCTCTAGTGAATTCATTGTTTTAAGTGACCACAACTTCTTCACGTCTCTTTATTGATTATTTCACTTAGACGTTTTCTACTCTCAAAAGGTTAATGGAAATAGCACAAAGATTCGTGCAACAACTGCTTTTCAATGTGGATTTTTTAGAAACCTTTGATTTCAGCTGCAAGAAGTTGTGGTCAAGGGTAAACGGTTAGATAATTATGTTTCCATGACGCATTCTCCACATTCTCTTTTCATGTGACTACTTTAAATATCACATTCCAGTTCCAAGAAATCTGTCTCGCTGCATTCCTTTTCTGCGTCCCTGTGAAAATGGCTGCAATCGAATCGCTCGAAGACATCATAGACACCTTGGAAGAACAACTGACCTGCTCCCTTTGTCATGATGTACTCACTCAGCCCAAAACTCTCTCCTGTCTTCACAGTTATTGTGCAAGATGTATCGCCCCTGACTTATATCAGAGCGGGAATCGAATGGACTGTCCATTTTGCAACACGACGGTAGTTGTGCCAGATGGTGACCCTTCGAAGCTACCTTCGTCGTTCTACTTGGATTCTCTTCTGGACTTGCTTCATGCGATGAAAAGCATAGCTAATGAACCAGTTTTGCCCCATTGTGTGAGCTGTGAACAACCGCGAGTCTTGGTGGCGTTTTGTCAGCAGTGTAATGGCTTGATATGTGAGGCTTGCTGCAACGCCCATCGGTTATTCAGAGAAATACGAGATGAACACCAACCAATAATGCTCGATCCATTTAGGGAGGGAGACGTAAACAGTTTCATCAAAACCCAGATGCTGTGCAAGTGCCACGAGAGAAAGAAGCTTGAATACTATTGTCAAGAGGAAACATGTAGACTCAGCGTTTGCCAAAAATGCGCTACTTTGAATCATCTAAACCACCAACTGAAGAGCTTAGAAGACGCTGGACAGGACTCAAGGAACTTGATCGAAGGAGCGGTGAATCGAGTAGAGCAACGAAAACAAAACGATGGACAAGAATTAAAACAATCTAAAGAAAACATAGAGAGAATTCAAAGAGAGATAGACGTGGCAAAGAAGGACGTTCAAAATGTAGTTAAAATGATTTGCAAGATGGCCAAAGAACACGGAATAGCGAAGGAGGAGGAACTCAACCAGACGCTCCAGGAACTAAC